AGTCCTTATCCTCAGGGCTGCTCTCAATCCAATGTATCTCAATGTAGTACAGTTAAACAAATACAGCTCTGTGTATGGAAAACCTAAGTGGCCCCAGATCTAACATGAAGGGACATCTTTTGTCTTTTAGAGAGGCTTGTAATTACTCTGTCCAGGACAATAAACATTAAGCTGCTTTCAAGCAAACCGATACATCGGTTATCACATAAATATAAAATAATGAATATGTGAATTTCAAGGTAGCATTTGTTCAAGTTACTCAAGGCTAATCATGTCATGTAGTTTACTGACCTCCTGCTCCTTTTTTAACATCTCCATGGCTTCCCGAAACTTTCTTTCCTTCTCCTCCGTTTCGGCAATAGTGGCTTGGTTCTGCTCTTCATACGCCATGGCCACAACAGCCAGAATCAAGTTGACCAGATAAAATGAGCCCAGAAAGATGACTAACATAAAAAAAAGCATGTAGATCTTCCCAGCAGATCTGAGAGTCTGTAAGCACAAAGGTAAAATCACGAACACTTGTTTAAAATGTTATTTAAAAGAAAAAAAAGTTGGTTTTTTTTAAACTTAGATTTACAATATAATTGAATTCAGCCTTTATTAACAGCCCAAACAGAACCTCTTTGATGGCAAATGCCAACCACATGCAAGAAAATTATCCTCTCCCTAATAAATTTTTATACCTTAGTCAAAAATTGTGTGCCTTGCAGTAAAAATCATTTCTAAAAGAGGAATGCTTTCCTTCTTTATGAAATATCTCCGCTGGTTCCCTTTAAGAATAGGTAATCTTACAATCAGTTGCAGCGAAAGCTTCCCCCACATAGCTCAATCTATTTTTGCCTGGTGCACAGAAACCTTCCAAGTGGGTTTCATGTTCTATCCCTTCAGGTATCTACAGTCTAGGTCCTTTACAGTCAACGTGGAGAAAAAGGATAATTTTAGGGTGCAACTCATCTGAAAGTTATTTAGACATCTGCCTCACAATAAGAAGAACCAAACCTTGAGTGCTATTGACTGTATTGCCTGGTTCTCAAACAGACTTATAGGAATAACTGGAGTTTACGGTAACCGGCTGAACTTATATTGCAGATATGTCCCATGGTCCATGACTTGATGTTAGTGACAGAAACCTCTGTATGATATTATAAGGTCAAATAATAAATGGGAATGATGTTCACCCTTATTAGCCATGACAGTTTCAGCCTTCCAGAGTTGTACATGCAGCTTTGTGCCAAATAAATGAATATAGTTGTTTAAAGAATCTTCAGTTTAATTGTTCTACATTTTCCTGAAATGAAATTGTATAACTGGGTGCATGTGAGGCTGAAATCTCCAGTACCTTCAAAGCTGTCTACCTCAGTACCTTCAGAGTAGTATCCGTCAGCACTAACTCCCTTGGTTTTCTTACAAGCACGCTCTGGTTTTGCAGTTTTGAGATGCAGAAGTAAATCTTCAGTGACTTCATGGGCAGAGTATGTAATTCAGTACCAAACTATCACACGCAGTTTTTCAGACTTCCCATGCATTTCAGGAAATACATGCTAAAATGAGCATTTACTAGCAGATCACCTTGAACACATAACTGTAAGTTAACTGAAAGTTGTCCATGATGAAAAGTTTGCAGCAGGGAGAACTGAAAGGTACCAAGTAGTCTTGCCATGGGCTGAATTTAAGTTCATTACCATCCCTTGTATAATCAGATATGCCAAGTACACAGGTACTTTTCTGGTCCTTTTTTTTATCTGGGCTCAAAAGATAAGTTAATGTTATACCAGCCACCAAAAAAAAAAAAAAAAAATTAAGTGGTGACATGGTGATCTGTATTAAGTGGTGAACTTTATTCAGATTCAGGTAAAATACCCATTCAAAGTGTCTTTCTCTCAGTATCAATTTTCCCCAAACAGTCAGTCTAATGCATTCTGGTATCATCACTCTTAAGAAATTAATTGTAACAATTGATAGTCCTCTGTCCACAACACACAGAGGGCAGTTTACCTAATAACCAGAAATTCTTTCTTGTCTTTAATTACAGAATCACAGAATCACAGAATCACAGAATGTCAGGATTGGAAGGGACCTCAAAAGATCATCTAGTCCAATCCCCCTGCTGAAGCAGGAACCTAAATGACATCACACAGGAAGGCGTCCAGGCGGGTCTTGAATGTCTCCAGAGAAGGAGACTCCACTACCTCCCTGGGCAGCCTGTTCCAGTGCTCTGTCACCCTTACTGTAAAGAAGTTCTTCCTCAGGTTTAAGCGGAACCTCCTGTGTTCCAGCTTACACCCGTTGCCCCTTGTCCTACCATTGGGCATCATTGAGAAGAGCCTGGCTCCATCCTCATGACATTCGCCCTTAACATATTTGTAAACATTAATTAGGTCACCCCTCAGTCTCCTCTTCTCTAAGCTAAAGAGACCCAGCTCTCTCAGTCTTTCCTCATAAGGGAGATGCTCCACTCCCTTATTGGATATATAACTGTAAGAAGATGGTGTATATTTTTAACAGTAATAAAACAACCTCATACCTGTTGATAAAGACGTTCCCAACAATCTTGAGTCATAAGACGAAACAAAGAGAGAAAGGCCCAGCCAAAAGTATCAAAGCTTGTATAACCATGGTCAGGATTTTCCCCGGCCTTCAGACAGATGTATCCCTCAGGACACGTGCTGCAAAACATGAAAGACAATACATGAAATGCATCATAGAAGGCTTCAGCATAGAGAAATTGATTTCCGAGGGAATATATTGAGTACTCTTGGTTAAGAGCACAGATGCTCAGAAGTAAATTCCTCCACTGGGTAAAAACACAGGAAACAGGTAGAAACTAACTGTACAATATCAAAGATCTTTGCAATCTTATTTTTCCTTTGAACAATTAAACTGGTAAATGTTAACCATAGCTTGAGCTGCAATGACAAATGAGCACCTAGCATTTCAGATATTTGGAATAGACTGGAAATAGGTGCCTAAGTACCTAATATGATTTTTCTTGGCACGTATTCCTAATTAGGAATCATACACATGGTGTCTCCTGTTACAGTTGTGGGTAATACTGTGATGGTGAACCTGCTTTTCTGGTTATGTAGTCTAATACTGGTGGGATGACATCAGCATGTGTCCTCCGAGCACCTTCCTGATTGCTTACTCTGCCTGACCTTGTACTTACCCCCCTGCAAAGACTAAATCTTTAATCTAAGAAACCCAGCCCTTGGTCCATTCACCTTCATCATCTAGGGTCATTATATTTTTTCTGTTTCTGCTGGGAAAATGTTTTCCTTGAGTGTCTTGCAGATTCACATATTAAATGACATGCAGATAGCATGAATTTCACTGTCTCCCATTAAACTTAGAGATTCTTTGTAAGCAATTTTCTAACCAGAAGAGGGAAAGAATGCTCTCTGCTTTACAGTCAGTGGTGGTAAGTATGTAAGTACCAAATTGCATCATCAAGCAAAATACAAGGTGAAAGAGATCCTGGGTCAGTGAGCCTCCCTCTCTCCCAGAAGGGTGTGACATGACTAGCCAAAAGACCCCACACCTCTTGAATATCACAAACCACTTTCCACACATAAGATACACCGCATCAGAAACTGAAGACATAGAGCAATATGCAAAGGCTTACTGCTGTATGTATCATAGGAAGAGAATAAGAGAGCAAAGGATGTTGCCAGTGTCCTGGAGCGCTACAGTATTTGGGAATTTTTTAGGTGGCAACCATCTAACTATCTGGAGAAGCAGATCTCAGCAGAACTTGTGGTAATGCCAGCTGTCTCTGTTCTCCTTGTGCTTCAGACAGAGATGAACCTGGTACGATCTGGTGCAAATTCTAGCTGATACAACTAGGGATGGCTGGAACAAGGAGGACTGTGAAAGCATTTTGTCAGAGATCAGAGATGAGAGAGACCAACTTCCAGGCAGTGTTTTCATAACAGAGCAATACCCTCTGTGCTGGCAGATGGCGAGCTAGATGTTCTGCCTGTCAGATGGAAGAATCAAGGTTTTCTGAAATGCCTTCAGATAGGATGATTATTGTATTATCCGGTCATTTTAGACACTTCACCAGCCATGTAGATTGTGTCCAATGTGTACAGTTTTTAGCTTTTTTATCCCCTCAGCAATAACCCATCAGGTGTTTCAACCACTGCTATTTTTTAACCAAAGCAGAATATTGCCACAAATAGAAACGTATAGCAATAATATAAATATGAAAAATAATTTCTAAAATGCCACTCAAAAAAGAAATTGACTGCTGAGAAAGCAGAGTATTTCTCAGTATGAAAGCCAAGGATTTTATATATATCATTTTTATATTGATGAAAATCAAATCTCTACAGCACAGGATAGCAACCCTATATTGTACATCGAGATGAGAATACATTGCTATAGAATTTGAAACTACACAAATCTATGGTGTCAGCCACCAACATTAGATATTCAAGAACACTTTAAGAAGCTTAATTTAATATCATTAGTCAAGCACAAATTTTTAAGTCTGCTTTGAATGCTGAGAAAATGAGTGCTGAAGCATTGCAAAATGTGTGCATATCCTTGTTTGCAGTAGTCTTCAGAAAAAGCAATAAAAATGAAAAAGAACAGTTAATGTTTAATGAATTAAGTGTAACACACAAGTGAGAATTTAATAAGTGATTCTGTCACCTTAGGTAGAGTCGAGCTAGTTTATATCAATTGAAAATTTAGACAATAGTAACTGTATCTCACAAAGAAAGAGAGAGAGATATGCTTCTAATGTTTTTCCCTGCCAGCCTAGAAATGCCTCCTTCTAGATCTTTCCTACTTTGACTACCTATTGTTTCCTAGTAAGAGCCACATTTGAATAAAAATTGCAGTAACATTACTGAGTTAGAAGAGAACAAAATGCAGAAATCTCAGCTTTTTTTTTTTCCTTAAAATATGCAGATGCACATTGAATCTCTCCTGTATATCCATGTTCTCTTTTGAGGCAGCCTTTTATTAAATCTCCTCTCTCCCAAAGGCAGCAGTTGCTATCACTCTCTGCCACAGAGACATGAGATTTCTGCCTCTGATCTGCTTCTGCAGACAGCCCTCAGTGCCCATGATGTGCTGTTGACACTGTTCAAGAGCTCTGAGAAATGGATGTTCTGGGTTCCCAAGAAGGAAACCCCTTCTGGTCACTTGTGCTAAGACATTGTGTCCAGACAGGACATTAAAATTTTTGTAAGTCTCATTCCTTTTGCCATAAGAAAAAGACTGCACTTACACACTGTGCTTGGTTGGAAACTAAGTGATCGTGTCAAGAGGAGGACAGCCTGTCCTTAGTCTTCCACAAAAGACCGGTCCCAAGTGGTTCCATTGAGCTGGTCTGATCACTTGCATTTTAACGTTATTACTAATGGATAAAACACCTGCATAGAGCTTTTAGAAACTTGATGGTGATCATTTTAATGGTGAACTTAAGCCTAGGCAGGGTAGTCAGTTGGAAAATGGGTTTTATGTAGAATAAGTTGCTTAAAATCTTTGGTAAAATGGACGTTTCATCATTAATTTCAATATGACAGAGAAAGACTTTCCTCTTAATCTCTTCATTATTACAAACAAGAGAGTCTGAAAGAAAGGACATATTAGGAGCTGCATTGAGATGTATTTTCACAGGAAACCTTCAGCACCACAAGACTAGAGACTACAAAGTCACTCAGGTTGACTGCCAGTGCTGCTTTCTGAGGAAACTCTGTTTTAATGCAGAAGAAAATCAGAGCAACTGCTCAAAGCACTTTACCACAACTGCTTGGAAAGCCCTAGGACATGGAGATGCAACTCGTCTGACTGTGAAAGTGAGCAATGGTACCTCTAACTAGTATTTTCTGTTTATAATACAGTTAGTATTTTTTCATGTTTCATTTCATCTTTATGTGTCTCTAAAACCTTTCCCACTCAGCAATAGATTTCTAGTGTGAAAAGATCTGTCTGAATCCACAGTGAGTACAAAGTTCTCTAATATTATGTTCAGGTGTAAGAGCATTAAAAAGAGGTGTCTTCAGCACAAAAAGCATCAACTTTAGCTCAAAAATGCTATTAATGTTAGCTCACATCCTTCTGACAGAGACTAAGCACTTGAGACAAAATATCCTACTTTTCAACTCCTTGTTCATGCTCACCTCTTTTGTAGCCGACAGAAGCGATAACCCATGGAGTGTGGGAACGCCTTAAAAACACTGTGGGAACACCTTAAAAACACTGAGAGGAAAACAAAAGGTTGTTTCCCAGAAAAACGCTCTACAGAAATTTAGGTGTAAGACACTCATATGAGAATATTATTCTGCAACTGACACCATTTCCTCTGAGGATTTTTTTTAAGGAGTCTCAAGATTTTGCTGAAGTCTCTTCGATGCATAATATTAAGCCTTCCCCTTCATATTTTTTAGCAAACTCTTCAGCTTCTGTTGCCTCGGGGGAAGCATTTCACAGGATTGCACTCTCCTCTGATGCACAGGGATGGGCAACAACAACAAACTACATAAATATAACATCCTCCACAGGAGCCTCACAGGATGCTGTTCAATTGATCACAATAAAATTAGTGTCATTGATTCAGAAAAGTTAAAAGCATCAGTCTACCTACCTATCCATCAGGCTGTAATCACGATTGTAAGCTGGCATTGGTACAGGAAATTAAAGAACATAAGAAACATCTTTGTTTTAAATAACACAGATGGGCAATGCCAGAGAGTTGTAGCTGAAGGGCGTAATTACAAAATGCTCTGGCTCAAGAGTTTAATCTAGGCAAGCCAAGTAACCTGCTGATCCAGACTGCAGCGGCCAATAGGGTTGTGCAATAAAAGAAGATTTGTAGAAAAACCATGTGCTGGATTGTAACATTCAGACCCTGAAAATACAGGGAGGGTTGTCCATGTGTTACCAGGAGTTAGCAGCAAACAGCTGCTAATGTCAGCTACGACATCTGTAAGGTTAAGGCTGCACTTTTATTTGGCTTAGGTTGCAAAGGCACACTACAGCTTGCTACCTCAAATTGCTTATAAAAGAAGGAGCAATGGGAGGTAAAGTGTGCACCACAGACACATCAAAAATTATAAACCAAAAACATATTGTGGCAAGGGCCCCTTAGTTCTCCTGCTTAAGGTCACAGCTTAAGCCCAAGAATGCAGAAATCAAACTGAACTGTTTATAACTGACATCTTTGGTACATGGCTAATTCCAGAGGAATGGAAACTGCCATGGTGAGCACAGTAGAGTTTCAAAGCCTGGCAGCAAGAGCTGGAAGAATAAATGGTGCCCATGGCATCCAAGGCTTGTTATGTGCACAGCAGAGTCCTCCTTGACCTGCCTCTTTGTGCTAAAGTCCTCAGGCCACAAAGGAGAGGTTTAGATCTCCATTATATCACAGGCCTGAGTGCTTTTCTCTTCACTTTTCATGTTTTCTCACTTCTCTTGGCTTTGAGGGAAGAGACCAGCAGCCAAACAAGGAGTGGATACTGTGCAGTGGTTGAGGGGGAACAAATAAAGATCCCTAGGCTGACATTTGCTCCTACCTGACAAGGTGAAACTACTCATTGTGAAACAGGGCACTATTTTAAAAAATGGATGTTGTAAGGGCAACTGGACATGTAGGAGAAAAGGCTGAAAGGAAGCAGAACCCAAGCCAAAGCCAGGTGTTGCCATCAGTGGGTGC